CTAATTTTCACCTATCATTGTAAAACGTTAGGTTACCCAATCCGGATCTAATAGATAGGCAATTCAATGTAAAAGACTTGATTTTTCTATTTAGTTTTATTCTAATAACAAAGATTTAAAAACATCAATAACAAGTTAACCATAAAAGAAAAATAATAAACAAAAATTATCGAAAAATCGAAAAATCAGAATCAATAAAATCATCATTTTCTTCTTCCTGTTCATTTCACTTTCTTAAATCCTGAAATTCCGCCGATTCGAGGAGTCCCAAAATATCGTCGATTTCTTTATTTATGCAAGCGTTCTTCAGAAAGTGTAACCCGTAGAAGTCGGATCCATCCGGTTTGAAACAGTGGATCAGGAGCCTGTCATGGTTGGGGGGCTTTTTTCTTTGAAAACACTTTTCCTGGGGTAGTTTTGTGCGTAGATTCCAGAAAAGCACAACGGCAGAGCTTGAAAAGGTGCTTTTAAACTGAGGTTTCCGAGCCAAAACCATTTTTAACCACTAAATATTCATTTTCTAACTTAAATTGACTGGTAAACACAAAAAATTAAGAAAAAATATTTTTTTATTTGGCTCCAATTTGGTCAGAGAACGTAATCAATAGGTTAAATTATGCCAGAAGAAAGTGTTTTTGGCTCCAAAAGATGTTTTGAGGGACCATTTTGAGACCTCTTCGTGGACCGATCTCTATCTTCTTGTTTTCTTTTTTCTTTTGTTCCCTTTGTTTCCTCTTTTCCTGCCTTTATTTCTAATGGACCTGGGAAAACGAGAATTTTCTCTGAACACAGGACTTCAGCTGATGACTATGCGAAATCGTGGAAAAGCAACTTAAAGTTATAGTAGATTGACTGATTGAGTTTCTCACAGAGTCTACAAAGCTACTCAGTTCTCAGCTGAACAGGTTTATGGACACTTAAAAGTAAACTGGGCCTAAACTATTGACAAAACTACAAACAAGACGTTGAACTGCCAAATCAGTACGTTTTGGAATCTCTTTGCCATTTTGATTTCTTCCTGATACCGCTTATATATCTGTTACGTCCGAATCCGGCCATTGATTATCTTGTGGTCGGTTTCGGACGTCCTAATTCGACCACAATCCGATCAATGCCAATTAACCAACTTTTAATGCTAATTGAGCAAATTTATTAAGCATAATTATTGAAGGGGTATTCCTCTAATAGACGAACCTCTTGCAAGTCACTTACACAATTGTTGCGCCTTGGTTAGCCTTTATCAAAAACTAGTTTTTTAAAAAGATTGATTGACATAAACCCATTTTTATCCGCAATACAACCATTAACAACATTAATAAAATTAGTTAGCAACTGTCCGAATTTCAAGATACAACAAACAAACTAAATGAAAAACGAAGTCAAAGAACAATCAACTTAAACAAAAGTTCTTTTTACTACGCAAATAATGCATGTTACTAAAAGCGTCATTCTGAAATTGAAAAGAACCAAAACAAGAAACAAAAAGATCACTTGTTAGTACAACTTCTTGCATGGTGGCATCTCGAGTTGCAAAGTGGACTCTTCTTTCGACAAGCACATCGATTCGTCGTACATCCGCTCAGCCACAAGCAATGAGCGCGACCTAAAATTATAATATTTTAGCTGAGGTAAAAACATTTGAATTTGTAAATAGAAAAAAGAAAGATTATAAGTGCAAATAAATGTGCCTACCTTGGCTCCCAGAGATCGATGCTGCCCCAACAGCAGTTCTCAACGATGTCTCCCCGTCCGGAATTGAATTGATCGAGAAGAATTCAGCTCCACATGGAGCCAGTTGATTCCTAGTGAATGTTTGCCCAATGTTTTGTGTCCCGATCGAGTAAAAACCATCAGTTACAGCTAGAATTTCTTTTTACATTTAAAAATAAATTTAAGAGTACCTGTAACGACTCTCATCAAATTAATTTCGTGGTCCAATCTTGGGTCGATCGACACAAGGAATTGGCATCAAAACATTTTGTCCAACATCAATTGGTGCAAATCTAGAAGTAATCATAACGAAAACATTGAAAACGCAAAAGTACCTTTGTTCACTGGCGTGAAGCATCTTTCGTGCCTGATTCTCCTGAGCAGAATGGGCTCCATGTCTTTCCATCATAATCGAATCGTGTAGACAATCGATTTCCGCTTGCTCCTCATCTTTTTGAACACCTAAAGCCAAATAATGTTTAGTAAATATTTTAAAAAGCAAACCAAGCATTTGACCAACAATCCCAAGTTGAAAGTCGGCGTCATTATTCCTCTGATTTGCGAATTCAGGAAATTTCTAAACAATAACGTTATTTTTATGTATTTAAAACGTAATTTATACCTCAACACCACTCTCAATTGAGTCCATGAAGCTTACAGGTCGTAGATCGGCGTAACGAGTAGAATTATCTTCCTAAAGTTGCAAATAAAGAAAAAATTCATTTAAATTAACCTGAAGCGTTTTCTCCTCCTCGTAGGCACTTGTTTGCTGGATTTCGTCGTCGTCTGACAAAACCTAAACCACACAGTTTACTTCAAATATTCCAGACCTACAAACATTTCAAACCTTACTTCTTCCTTAGTAATCGCTGTAGCATTTTCCGAGTCTCGTTCAAACATTGCAACATATGGCTACGTCCAATACCGGAATGATATCTATTGAGCAAAATTTAAAGTTCCAAAAAACTAAAGTTACCTGATGTTTTTACGATATTGAATCAAGGGCAAAAATCGGGCCCACTCGGTAGTTTTTGTTTCTCTTTGATGAACGCTCAGGATATCCTAAACGACCACAAGTATTTTTATGAGCAGCCAAACTAACCTCGATATCCGCGTTTGCTCGCTCTACACTTCCTTGTGATTACCCGAATGGCGCGGTTTCCGTGTGAACGATCTTGCAACCAGGCCATTGAGCGACAGCTTCTTCCAAGAGTTTATTTGCAAACTCTCTGCCATTGTCTAAAAGCAAAAATAAAAAAGGTGCCATAGTTTTTATTTTACCCCCCTCCTATAGCCCTATCAAAAAATGCAAAAATGCAATAAATTTTATGAAAAATTCCGATTTATTTTTAAAATAACTTACCTGTCTGAAAAAGAATTTGTGGAAGGCCAAATGTTCCGAAAATCGATACGATGTTTTCGACTATTTCTTTTGCCGTTTTTGTCCCGCAGAGCCCTCAGCAGAGACGAATTTTGTGAGGTGATCCTAAAATAAGAATGATAACATAAATAAACAAAGGCTAAGCGAAAAACCAAAAAATGATCTACCTGGTAAACGAAAATAAAGTTGTAATCGCCATCTGGAGCACTTTGCATGTCGATCAAATCAATTTGACATCGCTGGTTTGGTGGCTAGAAATGATCAGCTTCACAACTATTCCTTTATTTGGAAGCTTCTTCTTCAATTGACATTCCTCGCATTGATCGACGAAAATCTTCAGCACTTTTTTCGGTATCCCATAATAATTTTGGAGGGCTTTCCACATTAAACCGAATTCCAGCATTGTCCAAAGTGCTGAATGTTTCTGTCGAAGCAATTCATAGAGTCCTCACGCTTGATGACTTTCTTTCCCGTCGTTTTTCTTGGCTCCATCACCATGGTGCAGAAGGTGTGTCCCGTTTTCGCTGAATAGAGAGAAACGCCGGTGATTATTTCGTTCTTCAGTTAATTTCCAATTTACTGATGTTGATTGAAGTGTTTCGATCATCTTCACATAACCTGCATTAGACAGGAAAGCCACGGCTGCGTCATCTTGTACGAATTTCTCGAATTGATCATTAAAGGCGATCATTCTGAAGACCCATGACCCTAAAGAGAAAACATTAAGAAGTTTAATTATGAAATATCAGCTACTACATGTCTACCAAGAAAATGAAACAGCAATTTTTAAAAACGGTCAATTTTTGATAAACGCGGTGGTTCAGGGGTGGAATGAACATTTTTTTAGCAAACATGGGCGAAGACGCACAATATTTTAAAAGTTATTGGAAATTCCAAACCATATTACTTAAATTTCTTAGCTTAAATTTCCCTAGGTGAAACTATCTTAGTTGAAAAATTATAAAAATTCGATGAATCAAGCGGGATCAATTGGCATTTATCAGTTGTGATCGGATAGGACGTCAGGAAAACCGACCACAAGATAATCAACAGCCGGATTCGGACGTCCGGATCGGATCCTGACGTCCGGATCCGGATTCGAACGTAACACATATATCCCTATCATCACAATGTATGAGCGCGCACTTTGTAGCCCCGAAATTGGCTTAAAACACCTTTTCTCATAGCTCTCCGTTGTGTTTTCGGAATCTACGCACAAACTATCCCGAAGAAGTGTTTTCGAAAGCAAAAAAAAGCCCCCTCAACATGGCATGCTCCGTGGATCAAGTGGTCCTCATCTCCGTTTGAGAGCAATATGTCAATTTCGCAGGTTTTAAAAGATTTCCGAATAGTTTCTTCGATGATTTGATCCCACGCATTCCCAAACCAGCCACAGTAAGTGTCCAAAGAAGGACGCTTTTGGATTATCACCACCTAGTCCCATCTTTTCGTGATCTTGCCAAATCCGGAGCCGATGTCAAAATCAAATCATCTTACAGTTGCCGGATCTTTGCATTGAACGATGCATTCCAAAAAATATCAGCAGATTGCACGTATTTTGTCGTCCCTCCGCGCACGTAGACACAATCAAATTGATACTGTGCCCCTTTGTGCTGTCACTTTTGTGAGCCGCATGTTGGTCCCAGATCAGTAGCGACCGCTTGTTTTTGTTGAAGAATTCAAGTCTTTCAAAAGTTCGCTCCAAGAATTCCTTTGTGATGTCGTTGTCGAAGCGTTTGTTTTTCTTTTCTTTCCAACAAAGCAATAATTTCGATTGAAATTTTGATCAAATCTTTTTGTCAAACGTTTTTCTCGGCATCACCACAAATGGTTTTCGTTTCTTTCTGTCAGATTGCCCTGTCAGCATTATCGAAATGTTCATTTTTGTCGTATCTACGGTTCAGAACACCGACTTGAAGTTACCTCCTGAGGTTACCAAACAGAACTTACCTCTGAGGTGCTAAAATATTTCGGTCCGAATTAACCTAACTTTTTTCTTTGTATGCGAGATAAATCTGCATTGTATTCCAAATGCGATTAAAAAACTTTCAATCACCATCGGCTAGCCGATGGTGATTCAATCTAAGCGGCTGAAAATCACGAGCGGCTGCGACATATACAAAATACAAATTTGTATCCTCATTTATAAAAACCACGGTGACCCAGTTCTATTCCCTTGTAAGGGCGAAGGAGCGATGAGAGACTGAGCTTTCCCGTTTTTCTGGGCGTGACTATGCCCAAATATTTTGGGGTCAACTTTTCCCCGAATTTTGACTGGATTTTTTGACAAATTTGCAATCCCTTTAAACTACTGTTTTACTTAAACAGAAGTTAAACCGGTGCGAATAACGCGATCTGAGTTGCGCCGCTTGTCTCTCGAGTTTTCTTGTCATCTTGTTTCTCCTGGTATTTACAAATCATTGGCCAAAACATTATTGTTAAAAAATACAGCCTTTTCAGGAAGTTGCAAATAATCTCAGCATTGATTGCAGTGGCAATTGGAGGTGTTTCAATCTTTCTCTCGGCCTTTTGCTCTACAAAGAAGTAAGTTAAGGCAGCGAGCTGAGAGTTTATGGTTTCAAAATTTTGAAGTGGTATCAATTCCGACAACTCAACCGCAAAGCCTACATAAGTTGTAGAGTCACTTATTACGCCAGATTTGCTACTGGCGAACTTTTTCGAACACTGACGCTACCGTAACCCTCATTCAAGTGACTAGGCTACCGCAACCAAACCCAAATCCTAATACTATAGGTTTGAAACTTTGAGGATCAATTCCGCAACGGTAAAACGGTAAACTAGCTAGTTGGGTTAAAGGTTACGGCCTGTCAGGCACTTGAACGAGGGTTACGGTAGCGTCATTGTTTCGAAAGAAGTTTGCAAATGATTTTTGAATTTCCTCAAAGTGCTCAAAAGCTACGGTCCTCAAGAAAAAAACTTGACGCCTAGACGTTCGCTTGGGATGTTTTGACTTATTTTGTTGATTTCAGGGGAAAATTGGGGCAATCTCGGTGAATTGAGTGGTCTACTTTCTTGTCGGTGGGCACGATTTTGTGGAGGACTCCAGCGGTAATCAAAAGCTTTCACACTTTCTAAGAGATTTACGTTTACACGTGTGGGTTTAGCTTTACTTCAAATATGATCTCAGCGATGGATTTTGGATCTCTGGCGTCCTTCGTTTTTGTCATCGCTTGGTTCAATCTGGTACCGGAATATCTAGTTTTTCTAAGACTTTTCTTTAGCTAATGCTATTGATGCAAATGCGAAATGTTTTGGGACTTTTCATCGTGATGTTCATAAAAGTGGGAAATCATTTGTGAAAATCGCGGCAACGTTTATTCTCTTCATCATGGCTTTTCTTTCAGCTTCTTGATGTTAATCCATAAAAAGGTTGAAAAATGTGTATTTCAATGAAAATCGAAATTTAGGAGGACTTTTCTCGATGGGATTATTCATTTTCAAGACTTTTATGATGTCCACTGGGGAAATTGATTACTCGGGTATATTTTCGATGGAGACGGATCATTTTGAAAAGTTTGTTTGGTTGTTTAAATCTCAATCCTTCTCAAAATTTTGTCCATTGGCCCAAAAAAATTTCAGCAGTCCCAGTATAAATACTCCACAATGGTGATTTTCGTCGTTTTCGTCTTCGTCATTGTCATTCTTGTGCACAATCTTTTCATTGGTGTTGCAGTTGGGAACATTGAAGAGATCATGCAGAAGCAAAACTTGAGAGAGCTATCGCCATTGAGGTAAATGTATCCTAAGAATAGGTAATTGGGAGTTCAGGCTGATTGCCTTTTGATGCAAGGACATTGAGTGAAACATCATGAAAAGCCAAAAATATCGTCATTGGAGTGAGTGTAAATCACGAGGATTGGCCATTCAAATCATTTTGGAAACTTCAAAGGGAAGCGTAGGTTCTTTGTATCGTAAACGAAATAAGTTATAAGTAAGACTAACAAAGTTTGATGTATTCATTGATTGTTAGTGTTTGTACCTTACTTATGGCTGGGATTTCTCTTGTTGTTCTTGCTGTTCTGCTGTTCTGGAAGCAATGAAAACTCAAACAGTTTGTTATAAAGCTGAAAAGGTAAATTTTTCCCCTGGGAGGCTGGATCGAAGACATCAACCACCTGATGATGATAAAGATGGCGGAAAAGGCGGAAAAAGAAGCGAACAAACCTCAAGAGTTACAGGTGCACAAATTTCAAAAAGCAGAAAAATCATGATTTTAGGAAGATAACTTCTTTTGGGAGGATCAATAAAGAAACACGTGATGAACAACGAAAAATGACCTCTTGATTTGCAAAAAGAAGTGGTGAGTAAGATTGGATGCATTTTAAAACAATGCGAACGTTTTAGAAAGAGTTGAAAACCGAACTGACAAAACCAAAAAGAGCAGATGGCCGTTCAAAATAGCGAATACAGGAGATCAATTGACTTTGATTGTAAATCGGTTACAGGATTCCGAATAATTAACAAAATTTAGACCGCATATGCTGATAAAGCAACAAAAGCAAAATGGCTGATGAAAGTCTAAAAATTTGAGGACCAAATCAATAAGCTTGTAATCATTTGCAAGTTTCAATGATTGAAAAAAGATTTTTCGATGAGAGGAAAACCTCCAGAGTCTCAAGCGAACTCGGGAAGCCTGATAGTGAGGATGAGGCCTCGAGGAGGAGAAAGAAAACCGCCGCTCAAGGTTTCTGTAAGAAAAGTGCGATGAACCAGTTCCTCGGAATGTTTGACGATGATTTATTCGAGGTTGGTCTGATGTACAATGAAACCCATTAAATAAACTACGGCATTGATTCCTCAGGCAAGGTGCTTGGAACGGAATTATGACTGGCTG